GTGTGTGTGTGTGTGTGTGTGTGTGTGTGTGTGTGTGTGTGTGTGTGGACATCTGTGTGCAGGGAACTGGTGGGTGTGAAGAAGGACTGTGTTGTGGAGTACATATTTTCGCACTGCATTATGCAAATACTGCTCACTCATTGCAAGTGTGGCTTTCTCTTCTCTCCTTCCCTCTGCAGCAAGTACAGACGTGTGTGTGGGACGTGTCCAGCTCGTTTAAGATAGTCCTGGTGAACGGCAGCAAGGTGAACGCGGAGGAGACTGCCAAGGTAGACTCTTGCTCTGTCCACATCCATAACAATCTGTTCTATTCCTGTTGTAATGTCACTGCACACACACACACAAAACCTGCATGCACAGTTGTTACACACAGCTAAAACTGTGATCGTGTAAAGATCTCTTCCCATCCACCCAGGTCCAGGTGAGGGCGGGGCTCTTCCACGGCACTGAGCTGCTCTGCAAGCCGGCGGTGAGCAGCGAGAGCAGCGGCCGCTCGGACCACACGTGGAAGGACAGCACGCTGGAGTTTGACCTCTCCGTCTGTGACCTGCCACGCATGACCCGCCTCTGCTTCGCCATCTACGCCGTCATGGATAAGGTCAAGAAGCAGAAGTCCACCAAGAATGCCCACATAAACAAGTACCAGACCATCCGCAAAGCGGGGAAAGTGGTGAGAAACGGCCTCGAACTAAGGGCGTAAAAAGCAATAAAGGCCTCTTCAGTCTCCACTATCTCTATTATGTAATTGATAAATTATTGATTTTGCTTTGTTTTCCCTCTCTGTGTGATGCAGCACTACCCTATAGCTTGGGTCAACACTATGGTGTTTGACTACAAAGGCCACCTGAAGACCGGAGACATCATCCTGCACTGCTGGTCGTCCTTTCCTGGTATATCTATTATATCTACTGGTTAGGGATGGGCATTTTAAGACATTTCCATATTTGAGTACTCATTCAATTACTAAAACTCGTGGGAAAATAAAGCTGCGGTGTGTTTCCAGTTGTGATTTAAGTGGCGTGTGACTGTAACATATGACGCCGCACTTTCCCTCATACATCTTCTCCACTCTTTTGGTTGCTGTTCACCGCGATGCTAGCTTGTATTTCGGCTCATCATCTCGCGGAAGCCTTCACCAGAAGCATATCTCCAGTCACCGTTTCTGGCTAATCTTCTCTGCCCTGGCGGCATTACAACGGCGCGTGCCACCACTGCTAAGCAAATGAGGAGGTTATCGCTCTGTGCTGTTATCTCCTCGTGATTAATGCGCAAATGTGTAATCAGTTCAATTGCAAATTTAACATTACAACCCTTGCACATTCATTTATGTACGTTTGTTTTTCTTTACAAAGCAAAACAAAGTGATTATTAATATACGCTGAACGTATACTGATGTCTCAATGGAGTACTCAAATACTAACGCCCATCCCTACTTCTCATATAATTCAACCAGGGTAAAAGGAGCTTCTCCGGTGCCACCGTGCAGTAACTGCACGTGACTTCATGTGTTTGTTAATGTGTCTCACGCAGACGAACTTGAAGAGATGCTGAACCCCATAGGGACCATTCAGACCAACCCGTACACCGAGAACGCTACAGCGCTGCACATCCACTTCCCAGAGTACTCGTCACACTCCATCGTCTTCCCTCCCTTTGACAAGGTCAGACAGTGTCCCACTTACGGAAACATACTTTCTTTTTTTTTACCACTATTATAAAGTTAAATTTGCAATGCACATAAGCAAATGATCTGCCGTGATTGTTCCACACTTGGACTACGTCTGATCTCTGGATGAGACTTTTCTTTTAAAGACTTGACTGCAGTTGAATTTGTCATTGCAGCGCCTTAGTGCTCTTCATAATGGCACCTAGTGATTGTGATGAGGTGGAGGATCGGGACGTGCTCGGCCTGCCGAATGCGCTGGATCTGTTCACTCATGCGGTGCTCACTTACTTTGTTTTTGGCAGATATTGGAAAAAGCTGCAGACATCGCCGGAGCAAGTGACTGCGGGACTATGGTGAGTTCATGGACAGTGGGAGATAATTGTGTTGAGTATTTGCGCATTCAGGAAAAGTGATATATGTGTGTTTCAAGTTGGCCTGTTACAAATGCTGCATGGTTTCTCTCTGTCTCCCCCTCTCACTCACACACCATCAGTGTGGTATTATCTCGCTCTGCTGGTTTCCCTGGAAACCCATTGTTATCACTTTGGCAGGGTGTAGCTGCAGAATTATTTCAGTCCCCTTCAAAACTACAGACTCTAATCAGATTGCTTGTATGTTTTCCCGTCTCGCCGGGACTAAACTAAACCTCAACTAAAAGCCCACTCCTGGGCGTGTTGCAGCCGGTTACGTAATCCTGTGTTAGGTAGAGGGCATGCCTGAAGTTACACACCGCTTTAAATGTAAGGTGTGTGTGTGTGTGTGTGTGTGTGTGTGTGTGTGTGTGTGTGTGTGTGTGTGTGTGTAAGGACAGACTAGCACAGACTACAACTCAGTGTTTACTTTTTATTGTATCTCAATTTGTGCCTCAAATTACAGATCCACACAGTAGCAGCTCGTCTAATATGATTCCTTTGTAAAGAAGCTGCCATCTGTTTTTCTTTTAGCACTAGTTTGCGTTGATGTTATTGGCTTTTTTAAATCAAAGTGTCCCGCTTGAATCAGACCGCATTCATAAAGCGAGACAATGTGAGGCCTTGGTTTGCGGATTGTGTTGAGCTGCATTCAAGGCGGTTGACATAGAACTTGCTGGACGCTTTGACACACTCCTGCCATCCTGTGGTTATTTCTGGTCGCTGCACATCGTCGTCCACCCAATTCTCCTTCATCCTTCCTCTCACCCCGTCTCTCCTCTGCATCTTCTTCATCCTCTCCTTCGCTAACTCCCCCAACTTCAACCGGCCTTGTCCTCGTTGCTTCTCCTCAGGGTCGCGGGGGGAAGAAGTTCCACATAGAGCTGAAGGAGATCATGGAGCGCGACCCGCTCTCTCAGCTGTGTGAAAACGAGAAGGATTTGATTTGGACACTACGCTACGACTGCAGAGAGAACTTTCCTCAGTCGCTGCCCAAGCTGCTGCTTTCCGTCAAGTGGAGCAAACACGAGGACATGGCCCAGGTTAGTTTGTGCATTTCAGTTGTGACTGTGGCTAAGTGGATATCAGGGCTGTCTTTCAATCAGAGGATCGGTGGTTCAATCCCCAGTTCCGGCACCTGTGACAGACAGACATTAAACATAAAATGTTAATTTATTATGCGCAGAAAAGAAAACTGTGATCGGTTATTATTACTGTACGACTAATTGTGCAGCCGTGTGGGTGCTTTTGAGGCTTATCCAACTTTTATAACAAAGGTTTTATTCACTGAGCTACACAAGGACTTCATGTAACTGATTAAATGTCTGGGTACCAGTTTCTGAGCGTGTGTGTGTGTTTATCTCTCTCTCAGCTCCAGGCACTGCTTCAGATCTGGCCCAAACTGAGTCCCAGAGACGCTCTGGAGCTTCTGGACTTTAACTACCCTGACCAGTATGTCAGAGAGTATGCAGTGGGCTGTCTGCGAGATATGAGGTAAAGATATGTTTCCGCCCACACATGTATTTTTACATAACACACCGTCTTTGTCTCATATTCAAGCTCTTACATATCATCCCCTGTAATTGTGTACACCTTGTTACATTCCCCATTACTATATATGTGTGAATTACTATCAGTTGATCAGTGCTGTGTGTTGTTTCGTTTCCTGAAGAGAGACACAAATCCAACTAAAAGTTTTGAAAATGAAACGGGATAAAAAAAACCTTCCCCTCACTCTCCGTCCCTTTCCCCTCCAGTGAGGAGGAGCTGTCTCAGTACTTGCTACAGTTGGTGCAGGTGTTGCGCTACGAGCCCTACTACGACTGCGCCCTCACCCACTTCCTGCTGGAACGTGCCCAGGGCAACCGCAAGATAGGACACTTCCTCTTCTGGCACCTGCGGTATGTACAGACGCACGTTCTGCATTAGTGAGGAAGGGAAATACTTTGTATCCAGTTGAGTCACAAGAGGGTTTCTCTTCTGACTGTGGCTGTTCTGCTGCCCTCTACAGGTCGGAGATCCACATGCCGGCTGTTTCTGTCCAGTTTGCCCTCATCCTGGAGGCCTACTGTAGAGGCAGCATCCCTCATATTGAGGTTCTAAAGAAACAGGTAGGACACACGCTTACTCTCACTCTCTTTTTCATTTTGCCTCTAGACTCTTCAGACTGCCTCAGACTTTGACATTGCTAGTCCTCACACGAGAACCGGAATAGTCTATTGTCAACCCCCGTCAGGACTACATTCATGCTATTTTTAGCTCGTCACAGAGACAACAGCGTCGCCCTCCTGACCTCCTACACTGTTCATTCTGACAGTCACTCCTGTGGACGCTTCCTCCTACTTCCTCATCATTTATATGACCTCCTTCCTGTTTGGAGGAGCACACACAATGCTGACATAGTCTTTAAAAGGAGAATGAGCTCAGTCGTCTTAAACTTGGATGAAGAATTTCTGGGGTTCTGTCGACTGTTTTCAGTCAAAGAAACGCAACTCATTGTTGAGCTTTGCTCCGTTGCCTATTATGTTATTATTGTTAGATGTATTGTATGTTTTATTAGTGATTCTATGTGTGTGTAAGGTGACATCGAGTGCCATGAAAAGCCCCCATTATACAAAAGTATTATCTAAGTGTTGTTCTGACTGTTCCAGGTGGACGCCCTGAGTAAGCTAAAGTCGGTGAACGAGCTCATCAAGCTGGGAACCATCAAGAACGCTCGGAGTAAGACCAAGGAGGCCATGTTGACCAAGGAGGCCATGATGACTTGTCTGAGGCAGAGCGGCTACTCAGAGACTCTGTCGGACCTTCACTCCCCTCTGGACCCCAACATCCTGCTGTCCGGCATCAAGTAAGACGACTCGGTTTCAGGATGCGGTGGAACTTTTTCGTCCTCTGTTTCGCGGTGCGTCATCCCCGTCTCTCTCTCTCTCTGTCTCTTTCTCCTGTCAGTGTGGAGAGGTGTCGGTACATGGACTCCAAGATGAAGCCACTCTGGATTGTTTACAACAACAAGCTGCTGGGGGGAGACACCCTGGGAATCATCTTCAAGAATGGCGATGGTAGGAATCAAAGACTGGGGCTGGAGGGCGGGAATAAAAGAGAGAAGAGGGTGGGAGGAGGGTTAGGGGTCCTTCACGAAGGTGAAGGATTGAAATCACTTTACATCTTTCAACTAAAATCTGTTTTTGCATTTCCCTCTTCCTAGATCTAAGGCAAGACATGTTGACCCTCCAGATTTTGAAGTTAATGGATCTGTTATGGAAGGAGGCTAATCTGGACCTCAGGTGAGTTGTGCGTGCGTGCGTGTGTGCGTGCGTGTGTGCGTGTGTGCGTGCGTGCGTGCGTGCGTGTGTGTTAAACACACACACACACACACAAGCTTGTTTGTTCCTGCTCTCTGTAGGGAAGGGGAAGCTCTGGTGGGGTGCAGCAGAGGAGGGGAGAAACTAAATTACCCCATGCTAGTTTGACCTCCAACCCTTCTACACCCTCGATATCCACACACGCACACAATATCTGCATTACAATCCTAATCAAATCCACAATTTCGCACTTTCACAAACCCCCTTTTCTCGCTCCGTCATGCGCCGACACATCTGGAGCCGAGAGTTGGAGGGGTGCTGTTTTGACAGTTGAGCTTGAGGACGGTGCTTCAGATTACAGGGACACGGAGTTCAGAGTTCGAACGCGGTGACGGGACGTCCCGTACGGAGGGAGGGACAATGTAATGAACCCACTACGATGTGGTGGACGTGGGCTTGTTCTGGGTTTTCTTGCTGATGCATTTCATCACACACATCCTTACTGTCTGTCGTCATTTTCTTCTTTATTCAAAGTCAACACCTCTCAAGTTTAGTATGATGTGGCATTTGGTCTCCATTAGTCAAACTAATTAAATCTAGAAAGTGAGCCAGCTTTGAGCGTTGGGTTCATGGCTGTCTGATATTTGAGACTTGGGGCCACTATGTCAGTAAGGAGGGTAAAAGATTTGTCCAGGTCACATAATTCTGCGTCCTGCTAAATGAAGACATACCGCCATCTTGTAGAGGGAAATCCATGTGAATGAGGAAAAGTAATGTGATCTGCATGCCATCACGTAATCACCGTATGTTCTCCACCCTAATGTTCTCATCTGTCTCAACTCAGTGGTAACAGTATGATGTACAAATAAACCACAGCCTAATATCTTAATCTCATAAATACATAAGACTGGAATTAGATCTACAGCAACGCACACAAAGCTACGTTTACAATGACTGGTCAAATGACCCAAATCAGATTTTTGGATCATGTTTTTGGGGAATGTATTTCGTTCTTATGTTGGAAGTGAATGAAATCGGGAACTGTCACCACAACATGTGATATTTATTCCAGTAGGTATATGCAGAGTGTTTCTAGTGTAAACCAAATGTGAAATCAGGTATTTGTAATAAACTAGTAGTTGAGATGACTCACTGATTTTTCTCTAGAAAATGTAAATGTAAAAATTGTGGCAATAAGTGTGAAGAGGCTTTATTTTTATTTTAGTCATTTAAATTTGTATTAATTTAAACATTGACATTATACATAGATACAGAAATTAGGTTTCACAGATATATATATATATATATATATATATATAAAAAAATACTTAAACCCCTCCCCTCGGCACCCCATTTATTATTATTATTATTATGTGTTGTACATGTATCAGTAGGGGTTGCCGTGTGTCCCCCGTTCGATATATTTTTCTCTACCCACCGACGGCTCCGGGATCGATTTGTTCACAGTGACTCAGTTGAAACCTTTTTCCGTCTCTGCCCATCGTTCAGAATCGTACCGTACGGTTGCCTAGCAACAGGTGACCGCGCGGGGCTGATCGAGGTGGTCTCGTCGGCCGACACGATTGCCAACATCCAGCTGACCAGCAGCAACGTGGCAGCAGCGGCCGCCTTCAACAAGGATGCCTTGCTCAACTGGCTCAAAGAGAGGAACTCTGGGTAAGAAAGCTGCCTGAGGCCCAAAGGTCCAAAAAAAACCAATTTTCCTGTTGTTTGGAAACACACTTGAGGTTTTCTCAGAAGAGAATCCAGAAAACAAATGTGCTTGAATGCCTCCTCTGTGTGTGTTTTGTATCGTCAGTGATGCTCTCGAGCGGGCCATCGAGGAGTTCACTCTGTCGTGTGCAGGCTACTGTGTAGCCACCTACGTCCTGGGAATCGGAGACCGCCACAGCGACAACATCATGGTCCGGAGCACCGGACAGGTTGGACACGCGCACCGTTTGTTTCACCTGTGTAAATTACCCAGTAACTCCCTTAGTTCTTTTCCTTGGTTGTCCTCGCCGCTCACTGATTTGGTCCTTCTCGTCCCGTCAGCTCTTCCACATCGACTTCGGTCACATCCTGGGCAACTTCAAGTCCAAGTTCGGCATCAAGAGGGAGCGAGTGCCATTTATCCTCACACACGACTTCATCCACGTCATACAGCAGGGCAAGACGGGATACACAGAGAAATTTGGCAGGTTTGTTCCACTTTCATCTTCAGCAATGATTACTGGTGCCTGAGCTTCTACTGCCCACTGCTGGTGGGAGATGGTACTGCTCTAAGTGACCTATGCAACCAGTGGGTTTAAGAACCACTGGTTGCATCGGTCAGTTAGTGCAGTACCCTCTCCCACCAGCAGTGGGCAGTAGAAGCTCAGGAGCTGATGAACATCACTGAGCAAAAATGTCCTCTGTTAAAAATCAATTCAACTGTGTAGTCAAGTAAAATTGGTCCGTAGTTTATTTGTAGGAAGGCATGTTTGACTATCACACACACAAACAAACATGATCAACAGTGTCGTGGCTTTCACACACACACACACACACACACACGCACAGGCAGAAGGAGATTGTAAACAATGTATTCATATATGCTGAAGGATGAAAAGGTTTAGATTTAATCCACTCTTAAATTAAGTCTCTTTTTTTCTACATAAGATGGGTAAAATTTAAAATAAAAAGATATGCACAATTTGGATATAGGTCCTCATACTACATTTTGAAGTTATTATTCCCAGATACAGATGACTCATTGTTGCAGTGATCACATAAAAAATATACCAACCCAGGCAACATGTTTCTGTGGTATTGAAGCTTGAGGGAGGTGTGTGTTGGAGTGCGCATGAACAGAAATTTAAGTTCTTTTCATAGTTATTTTGAGTAAATAGGCCTCATTCTGCCGTCTGTATGTGTCTCGAGATGTGAAACAGTAATCAACTTTGATCCGCGTTGGATTTCTTGAATTTGAGAGAAAATTGGACCTGGAAAGTCTTCGGAAAGTAATTTAATTGAATGCTTAAGAAGTTGTCTGAAACCTGTTTAAACTGCCTCGTTAGCCAACAGCTGAGCTACACAGCTGTGTGTTGGAAGAGCAGCCTAAAGGTGCTCGATCTAAAATGATCCATCCTCAAAAAATGTGAAAAGAGCAGCGCGGCATTGGTGCATTGTTGCGTCAGCAAAAGTGGTAAATAGTACAACGTGTACCAGATCAGAAGGAGAGCACGCACACAGAGGACTTTGTGAAAGAGGAAACGTGTCCTTTATATGATGACCTGCAGTATGTTCACAGTGGTAGCGGTGAGGTTGTCCAGCGCTCCTTCGATTACTCCTATTCATATGAACAGTGTGAGATGGGATTCAAACAGAAATGTTAACATGTCGACCACTAGCCAGGGATGCTGATCTGCTTTACATCATCCAAAGAGTTATTACTGTGTATAAAGGAAATAACAGCAATAACATTCATCGGGTTTGAGTAACAATAATCACATGATTACAGGGAATCATATATGATGGAACATTCCAAGTCAACATCACGACCGTCATCATAACTGTGATTCTAAATATGTTTGTCTGTGTCGGTCTTGCAGTTTCCGTCAGTACTGTGAGGAAGCCTATCTGGTCTTGAGGAAGAACGGGAACCTCTTCATCACCCTGTTTGCCCTCATGCTGACCGCGGGACTGCCTGAGCTCACCTCAGTCAAAGACATCCAGTACTTAAAGGTACACACACACACACACACACACACACACACACACACACACACAGCATAAAAAAAACTGATAATCAGTGCCTCATGTAAAAATCTACAACTTGTGAACTGTGATGATTTCCTATCACAGTTCAGTGTTAATATTCTGTGCATCTCTTCAGCTTCATCCCTTTTGACAACTCAATTCTGCACAGAGACAAGATGCTGGGAGATTAAACCGAATAATGTTATTAATAGCATTGAAGTGCAGTGAGACAGAAGTCTCAAACCAGGTAGACTAATGTACAAAGCTGTATGCCTCAAAGTAAGATTGCTCAGCAGAACTTCATACAGATTCACAAACAAAAATGCTTTTGGTTAGATTAGTAGTCTCAAATTATTTTTCTTTTTTTTTTAAATTAGTTTCTTTCTTTTATTTTATTAGTAGTTAGCTGCAAATATCTATAGATTCTGTGTCCATTTCATCCTAAACACTTCTTCATCCTTCTCTCACGACTAACCCTCCTCCTCCTCCTCAGGACTCTCTGGCTCTGGGTAAAACAGACGAGGAGGCCCTGAAGCAGTTCCGCCAGAAGTTCGACGAGGCCCTGAGGGAGAGCTGGACGACCAAAGTCAACTGGATGGCCCACAACGTGGCCAAAGACAACCGCTCCTAGAGCAGCTTGAGGTCCCTCAGAAAGGTCACAGGGGCCAAGAGGACACAGTGAAGGAGTGTGCGGTATGGAGGAAAAGGTGTGCAAAGGAGACGGGGTGACGGCCGCCCTCATCTAAAGAAGGGAATCTAGCAGAATACACCAAACACGAGCAGATACACCCCCTCAGCCCTCTCTGGCCCTGTGACCTACAGACGAGGAGGCCGCCGTACTTAAAGCAGTTTCTGGG